GCTTACAACCCAAGACCTGATTTAAATAGCAATAAACTGGAGATTCTATGGTTTGAGTGCTGCTTCCTAAGACCAAACCCATCTTAGTAGGAACTAGTTACCGCCCTCCTACCCAGGACCAGTTCTTAGAAGACTTTTCCAGAGTCTTGTCCGGAGTTGAAAAACAATTGCGAGACAATAATACTGGGCGACTTCAATATCTGTTTTCAGCAGCAAAATAACGGGCTATGCAAAAGGTATAAGCAAATTCTAGGATTAAATAGTTACACTCAACTAATTAATACTCTAACCCGGATCACACAGTTCTCAGCCACCCTAATTGACCACATACTTTGTAACCGCGCTGAGAACATTAGTCAGTCAGGCGTCATTACCACAGGTCTTAGTGATCATTTCATCATTTACTGCACCAGGAAAATCACTAGGGATAGGATAGGCCTACACAGGACAATAGAAATGAGGTAAACTAGAAACTACAGTAAAGAAACACTGGTAAATAGGCTACACAATTGTGACTGGACAGAGATAACAAGTTGCACGGACGTAACGATGCCTGGGAAAAATTCAAAACATGTTCACTACCATCCTTGATAATATTGCACCAGTTAAAGAGGTTAGGATTAAACGAAGAACTGAACCCTGGATGAATACTGAGATATTAGATAATATGAAATTCAGAGACCAGCTGCTAAAAAGATTTAAAGCAAACAGACAGGATATTGCAGCACTAAATGAATTCCAAAGGGTGAGGAACAGAGTACAGAGACTTATAAAAGGAGCAAAGGCAAAGCACTACTGCTCAAAAATTGAAGAGTATAAGCATAACCCCAGAAAGCTCTGGCAACAACTAAAACAGTTGGGGTATAGCCATAAGCCAGTAGATAGGTCTAATGAGGTATGCCACGAAACATCTAAGGTGGCAAATTGCTTTAATTCATACTACACATCTGTTGCATCAACACTAGTAAGTAAACTACCAGCTGCATCAAATACCTTTAACACAGACTCTGATAAGTTTCAAACATACTATAATACTATACCAATAAAGGGGTAACCCCAAACAGTTGTCAACTAGTAAGTGTATCTCATGACTTTATTCAAAAAGAACTAAGCAGGTTAAACCCAACTAAGAGCACAGGCCCTGATAACATCCCGTCTAAGTTCCTAAAAGATGGTGCTTCTGAACTGTCAATCCCTATTGCTCACATAATAAATCTATCAATCACCACTAATACCGTACCGGAGGGGTTCAAGGAGGCCAGAGTTACTCCTATCTTCAAGAAAAATAGTAGGTCTGATGTAAGCAACTATAGGCCTGTTAGTATACTCAGTGTGGAAAATTTTTAATTTTCCGAAACTATAGCGCCTAATAGGTGTTTTATGTGCCGATATGAGTCAAAAATGTATTTGAAAATAGAGTAGAACCAAGAGTTCCCTTTGCGCATGCGCGGATGTGCGGGGGGAAGTGGCGGGTTTGTTTTGAAGGTGGAGAGGAAGCTGGGAAAGCATGGAACCACGAAATTGGCATTCACGGCGGCCTAAGGATTAATATAGGCCTCATTTCGTAATAGGAAGTGTCGTAACTGTTCCTGGTGGAGAGTGAGGGAACGTGATTTACGGGACCACGGAAAATAGAGTGGTAAATGAGTGAATAAGGGTAGGACCGTTTGGTGATGGCGCGTCGTCCTGGACTGTGTCCCGGGGAAGTTACCTTGGTTTAATCTCACTCATCGGTCTCAGATCTTAATGGAGTGATCTCAAATGTTTATAATAATTATGACCATTAAAATCGTCTTGTGAATTGTTAATGTAATTAATGATAATAACGCTAAGTTAAGAGAATGCGTGGAAGTGAAATAAGTCTTTTTTGCTCCGAGTGAACACGTTAGACCTCGTTGTTCCCGAGACGAGGAAAGTAAAAGTTTCCTTGAGTCACGACTTTTAAAGCGGGACAAACCAACGGATACCTCGTCCTGCTGGAATGAAAAACCGTGTCGGTGTAGCAGGACATCGAAATGAGATGGTGAATGGAGGAAATAAGGAGTACAATCACCCACATTTTAAGTAACCCTTCTAGTTATAACAGACTTATGTGGCCAGTTGTGTTATGTTGTAATTAGATAGGTATGAGTGATCCAGCTACTTTCAAGTGACCACCAGAGAACATCTGGTAAGTGGTGGGATTATGTACAAATGTTTTCCTTGATGGATGTATCCAGGTGTATCCTACCCCCCCCCTTCATTCAGCTAAACTAATATAATCTATACAGTCCACAATTAATTAGTAGCACCGTACTTGTGGGTGCTATCCAATCCATACTGGTCTCGGATAGATATGGATAAGATTGTGAGGTCGAGGGGACCACTTGCCGCGACCAGGGGTGGTTAAGTTTTCTCACATGTCTACACGGGGTGACTACGGTAAACAATATGATTGTCTCCCAATGAGATTACTGGTATGTATATAATGTTGAGGTACATACAGGTAAGCACCCTAGAAAATTTTCCATACTCAGTATAATATCTAAAATTCTAGAGAGGGCGGTGTATTCTCAAGTAGTTAAGTACCTTAATGACAACAACATTCTCCATAGCTATCAATCGGGCTTTAGAAGATCCTACTCAACCGACACTTCCTTTATTAATCTGATGGATTACCTGAGAACTGAAATGTCAAAGGGGAACCTCACGTATGGTAACCTTAGACCTGCAAAAGGCCTTCGATACTGTCAACCACAATATATTATGCAATAAACTTCAAGCTATCGGTATAGGTTCTGTAGACTGGTTTAAGTCCTACCTTAGCAACAGGAGACAAATAGTCAAAATCAACAAAACAGAATCAGAACCCCTGCCGATAACATGTGGAGTTCCCCAAGGTAGTATTCTGGGTCCCTTATTATTCTTATGTTATGTCAATGATATGCCTATCAGTGTCAAGTGCAAACTCCTACTGTATGCAGATGACAGTGCTCTGTTAGTGTCAGGTAAAGACCCACAAGATATTGCTAATGTTTTAACACTGGAACTGGAGTCCTGCAGCAAATGGTTAGTAGACAACAAACTATCATTACACCTAGGGAAAACTGAAGCCATTCTCTTTGGCACGAAACATAAACTGAGAAGGGTAAATAATTTTAATGTTCAATGTAATGGGGAGCCCATCACTTTGGTTTCATCAGTAAAATATTTGGGAATCCCCTTTGACCCATGCATGTCAGGAGAATTGATAGGGAACAGTGTAGTAAAGAAAGCGAATGCCAGACTTAAGTTCCTGTATAGACAAGCACAGTGTCTACCTACTGAGGCTCGCAGGACCCTATGTCTAGCCCTTATACAATGCCATATGGATTACGCTTGCTCTTCTTGGTACTCTGCCTTGACAAAAAAAACTGAAAGATAGACTGCAAATCACCCAGAACAAAATCGTAAGATTCATCCTGGACCTGGGACCAAGAGAACATGTAGGCCAGGATGAATTACAGCAGTTGGATATGCTGAATGTTGAAGACAGAGTAAAACATGAAGCTAAATCATGTTTATAAAATTGCTCACAAACAATGTCCAGAATATCTTGCTGTCAATTTTGTCAAGGTTGGGAACCAAAGCAATCATAGTACTAGGGGGAGAGAACACAACTTTGTAGTACCCACAGTCAGTGGCCAGGCTTCAAACACCTTTTATTGTACAGCAATAAAGGAATGGAACAGACTACCCGCACATGTCAAAGCCAGTCATAGCATGAACCAGTTCAAGAAGAGTGCCAAAAGGTGTCTAATGAATGTAGCTACAGAAAGGGAGGGGAATGATTTTCTATTTTTTAGCTAACATACGTGTAAATTTTACCTTATTCCTAGTAATGACCCTCGTATTGTAGATAGTCTTAATGACCTTGGTGTAGTAGATAGTCTTTTTAGTATGATAATAAGATGTTATCTTCATTGTAGAATAATAAGAAAATATTATAACCTTCATATTATAATAATAAGGTAAAAGGACCCCAATAGAAATAAGTCACTCTGACTTTTTTGGGTTATCCCAGGTTCTCTACACATATGCTGCTATGTATGATAATTCTATGTAACTGTATTTGTGTATACCTGAATAAACTTACTTACTTACCTTGGCGAGATACAGATCTCTCGTTCTACCCCCCTACTCTGAATAATAAATGACGAATTTCCTCCGCTCTCTTCCCGGGAAGACCTCGGGAAGAAGCCGGTTAATGAGTGAGAGTGTCTCTTCCGAGATTTACGCATGAGTCCACCCGACCTACCGTAGGTGAGAAAGATCATTCCAGTTTCAGGGCTCAATACAGCGTCGGTTGTGGCCCTATAAACCCCCAACAAAAAGAAGTATTTGTATACTACATTTTTAACAAGACATATATAAACTTTTACAATGATTTTACATCGTAAATTAAGCAGTATTTAATCTGGGATAACCCCATGAAATCAAGCACTCTGGCTTATTTCCATTTGGATCTTTGTGTTACACTTTTACCTAGTTTTTAACCCCGGAGAGTTAGCCACCCAGGATAACCCTAGAAAGGCAGTGCGTCATCGAGGGACTGTCTGTCTTATTTCCACTGAGGTCTCCCCTCAAGGAAGGTTCCTTGATGTTGGTGAGGGGCTCTTGATTTAGGGAATTGGATCTGTGCTCCAGTTCCCCGAATTAAGCCTGAATGCCTTCCACATCCCCCCCAGGCGCTGTATAATCCTCCGGATTTAGCGCTTCCCCCTTGATTATAATAATAATAATAATAATCCACTGAGGTCTTCAATCTTGTCCCCCAGGATGCGACCCACACCAGTCGACTAATACCCAAGTACCTACTTGCTTGCTAGGTGAACGAGACAACAGGTGTAAGGAAACATGTCCAATGTTTCCACCCTTGCCGGGAATCGAATCACAGACACCCATTGTGTGAAGTAAGAGCATTGCCTACCAGGCCACGGGCCACCCTGGTGAGATTAAATTATTTTGATATAATTACACAGTTCTGGGTGATTACAATTCTTATATAGGACCATGTTTAAAATATCTAGGCTAAGATAAAATTTGTCCAGATTTTTAACCCAGAGGGTTAGCCATCCAGGATAACCCAAAAAAGTCAGTGCATCATCGAGGATTGTCTTATTTCTATTGGGGTCCTTCAATACTGAGCCCCAGGATGCATCTCCTAACAGTCGTCTAACACCCAGGTACCTAGTTACTGCTAGGTGAACAGGGATGGTAGGTATAAGGAAGCATGTCCAGTGTTTCCACCCTTGCCGGGGATTGAACCATGGACACTCGGTGTGCGAGGCGAGTGTGTTGCCAACTGAGCCAGTGACCTATTTTCATTGGGTCCTTGTAATACTTGACTATTATATGACTAGAGGTTATGCACTAGCATACCTAAAGTCCTACCTTAACAACAGACACCAAGATTGTTAAATCATTAAGAGCTGTTAACAGAATGTACAGTAAATTTTTTCTCACAGGGTACAGTTCACTATTATACTTATGAATAAATTTGCCTGCTGAAATCATTCAAGTTAAATCAGTGCTCAATTTAAAATATAAATGGGATAAACTCATCAGACAGTATGTAATGGGACCCTTCATAAGTCCAGAAGCTGTTGGTCAAACCCTTTCCCAACACAGCTAGGTTAGTAATATGTCAAAAAGATAGATTGATATCAGAGTACGTACGAGGGAAAGAAAAGTGAAACTTAAACCCTTCAAACAATTAAGCAGATAAGCAGTGGCCCCAGAAGCTAAAACTCTCCCCTTTCAAACAGCTAATTAGATGAATAGCAGGCTCAGGAATAGTTTATTTGGACATGATATATAATTGTACAAGGAGCACAAAGCACTAAATTATTTTACATTTAGCTACAGTCTTTGTAAGATCATTTTATTATTTGAATATTATAAAATATGAGAGTTTAAGGTATAGGCCAATGAAAAGCAGGGGTGTCACTAGCACGTTAAGAGACCATACAATAAGTGTCAGGGGCCCGAGACTGTTCAACTGCCTCCCAGCATACATAAGGGGGATTACCAACAGGCCCCTGGCAGTCTTCAAGCTGGCACTGGACGAGCACCTAAAGTCGGTACCTGACCAGCCGGGCTGTGGCTCGTACGTTGGTTTGCGTGCAGCCAGCAGTAACAGCCTGGTTGATCAGGCTCTGATCCACCAGGAGGCCTGGTCACAGACCGGGCTGCAGGGGCGTTGGCCCCCGGAACTCTCTCCAGGTAAATAGGTGAACATGTGCTGCATATTCACAAGTCAAGGTATACAAAATGTAAATCTTTTATGTACACTGGATGTTTTTTTTTTGTTTTTTTTTTTTTTTTTGCAAATACATGTATAATTTCAAATTTATGATTTTTTATAACTAGTACTCAACAAAATTACCAGCACAAAAAGTACACAAATATTACATTTATTCTGTGAGATTTACATGTGTAGTATTAAAATTGTTGTGATCATTAAAAATATTTTTGCAATTACAGATCATGTGTATATGGCAAAAGTAGTGAATATCCACAAAACAACCAATTATACTACTGTGTGAAGTAAAACTTTTTATATTATTTTTTACTATCTATTAATATAATATATAATTATATTACTGTATTCAAGTGTGTTTCATGTTAGGACAGCAGTTATTACTTAATTTGTTAAAATCTAAAACTTATTCTTACAAATATTTTTTTTTTTTTTTCAACAAGTCGGCCATCTCCCACCGAGGCAGGGTGACCCAAAAAAGAAAGAAATTCCCCAAAAAGAAAATACTGTCATCATCATTCAACACTTTCACCACACTCACACATTATCACTGTTTTTGCAGAGGTGCTCAGAATACAACAGTTTAGAAGCATATATGTATACACAACATATCCCTCCAAACTGCCAATATCCCAAACCCCTCCTTTAAAGTGCAGGCATTGTACTTCCCATTTCCAGGACTCAAGTCCGACTATATGAAAATAACCAGTTTCCCTGAATCCCTTCACTAAATATTACCCTGCTTACACTCCAACAGATCGTCAGGTCCCAAGTACCATTCGTCTCCATTCACTCCTATCTAACACGCTCACACACGCTTGCTGGAAGTCAAGCCCCTCGCCCATAAAACCTCCTTTACCGCCTCTCTCCAACCCTTTCGAGGACAACCCCTACCCCGCCTTCCTTCCCCAGTAAGTAAGTAAGTAAGTTTATTCAGGTATACACAAATACAGTTACATAGAATTATCATACATAGCAGCATATGTGTAGAGAACCTAGGATAACCCAAAAAAGTCAGACAGAGTGACTTATTTCCATTGGGGTCCTTTTACCTTATTATTATAATATAAAGGTTATAATATTTTCTTATTATTCTATAATGAAGATAACATCTTATTATCATACTAAAAAGACTATCTACTACACGAGGGTCATTAAGACTATCTACAATACGAGGGTCATTACTAGGAATAAGGTAAAATTTACACGTATGTTAGATAAAAAATAGAAAATATAGATTTATATGCTTTCCATGTCATTCTACTTTGATCCATTCTCTTTAAATGACCAAACCACCTCAACAACCCCTTTTCTGCCCTCTGACTAATACTTTTATTAACTCCACACCTTTTCCTAATTTCTACACTCCGAATTTTCTGCATAATATTTACACCACACATTGCCCTTAGACTCAAGAAATCGTAATGACGCGGGTTCAATCCCGGCCGGGGGTATGGTTTGGTTTGCCCTTAGACAGGGCATCTCCACTGCCTCCAACCGTCTTCTCACTGCTGCATTTACCACCCAAGCTTCACAACCATATAAGAGTGTTGGTACTATAATTTCATACATTCCCTTCTTTGCCTCCATAGATAACGTTTTTTGACTCCACATATACCTCAACGCACCACTCACCTTTTTTCCTTCATCAATTCTATGATTAACCTCATCCTTCATAAATCCATCTGCCGACACGTCAACTCCCAAGTATCTGAAAACATTCACTTCTTCCATACTCCTCCCCAATTTGATATCCAATTTTTCTTTATCTAAATCATTTGATACCCTCATCACCTTACTCTTTTCTATATTCACTTTCAACTTTCTACCTTTACGCACAATCCCAAACTCATCCACTAACCTTTGCAATTTTTCTTTAGAATCTCCCATAAGCACAGTATCATCAGCAAAAAGTAACTGTGTCAATTCCCATTTTGTATTTAATTCCCCATAATTTAACCCCACCCCTCTCCCAAACACCCTAGCATTTACTTCTTTTACAACCCCATCTATAAATATATTAAACAACCATGGTGACATTACACATCCCTGTCTAAGACCTACTTTTACCGGGAAGTAGTCTCCCTCTTCTACACACCCTAACCTGAGCCTCACTATCCTCATAAAAACTCTTTACAGCATTTAGTAACTTACCACCACCTATTCCATATACTTGCAACATCTGCCACATTGCTCCTCTATCCACTCTATCATATGCCTTTTCTAAATCCATAAATGCAATAAAAACTTCCCTACCTTTATCTAAATAATGTTCACATATATGTTTCAATGTAAACACTTGATCTACACATCCCCTACCCACTCTGAAACCTCCTTGCTCATCCGCAATCCTACATTCTGTCTTACCTCTAATTCTTTCAATTATAACCCTACCGTACACTTTTCCTGGTATACTCAGTAAACTTATTCCTCTATAATTTTTACAATCTCTTTTGTCCCCTTTCCCTTTATATAAAGGGACTATACATGCTCTCCGCCAATCCCTAAAAATAAACACTGATGTGTGCAAATGTATATTATCAGTGATATTAAGACTACATCATTTTCTTGTAAAAAGTAAATGGTAATTTTCTATTTTGAATTTCTTTTCATTAGGATTATGTATTATGTGTAGTGTAAAAAATACTCCTTATTCATTAGTGCCTGATAAATGATTGTTTAAAATTTATTTCAGGAATCCCAGGAACTAAGGTTCCTAAACATCATGTTCAAGTTCAATTTCAATGTGGAAACTGAGGATGAAATTGGTAAGGTAACTGCAAATTAGAGATAATGTTCAGTTGTATATACAGTACAGTATATAACTATACATGTAATAGTATACAGTGGACCCCGGTTAACGATATTTTTTCATTCCAGAAGTATGTTCAGGTGCCAGTACTGGCTGAATTTGTTCCCATAAGGAATATTGTGAAGTAGATTAGTCCATTTCAGACCCCCAAACATACATGTACAAAAGCACTTACATAAATACACTTACATAATTGGTCGCATTGGGACGTGATCGTTAAGCGGGGGTCCACTGTATTATTATATTACAGTATACAGTGGAACCTTGGTTCTTGATTGCCCTGGTTTTCGTCAAATTCGGTTTTTAATGACTTTTTCCTTAAAATATTGTCCCAGTTTTTGTTCATCACCTCGGTTTTCGTGTGCTGTACTGAACATGTCCATCTGCCCACACCCACACAAAGCATCCCACGCACGCATTCTGAGTCAGTTTGGCTTTGTTTCTTATCAAGTGAGCATTACCCTGCGCATTCATACGAAACATTTTGTAATAATCCATTGTTTTTTGTGCTTGCTTATTGAGTGCGACTGCTAAATAAGCCACCATGGCGCCAAAGAAAGTTGAGAGTGCAAGCCCTTCGATAAAGTAGGCGAGAAATTATTCTTGGGTCCTCCAGCATCACTAGTAATCCTCTTGGTTTCTATAGTTAATATCCAGATACAAGTGGGCAATGACAATAACCAGAATTAATTGATAAATATTTGAATGCATGAAGTAGGCGATGCTTCCAGAAAACAACTCCAGGTGGTAGTGGGAGAGAGGGAAGCTGTTTTTTTTTTCTTTATTATTATTAACACATCACCTGTTTCCCACCAAGGCAGGGTGGCCCGAAAAAGAAAAACTTTCATCATCATTCACTCCAGTACTGTCTTGCCAGAGGGGTGCTTTACACAGTACTGTCTTGCCAGAGGGGTGCTTTACACTACAGTTATAAAACTGCAACATTAACACCCCTACTTCAGAGTGCAGACACTGTACTTCCCATCTCCAGGACTCAAGTCCGGCCTGCCAGTTTCCCTGAATCCCTTCATAAATGTTACTTTGCTTATGCTCCAACAGCACATCAAGTATTAAAAACCATTTGTCTCCATTCACTCCTATCAAATACGCTCACGCATGCTTGCTGGAAGTCCAAGCCCCTCGTACAAAAAAAACTCCTTTACCCCCTTCCTCCAACCCTTCCTAGGCCGACCCCTACCCCGCCTTCCCTCCACTGTACATCCCAAAAAGGCTTGACCCTTAGCCCCAGCTTGGGTTGTATTTGAAAAATTTCAAGGCATGCAGAACCCAGATTTTTTTTGTTATTTGATTTCCACATTATATCAAAATTTTTGGTTGCATTTTTTAATTCTTACAACAAAATAATTATGTAAAGTTCCATTTTAAAAAGGTTTACTGTATGTTACACAGTGTAGCGTTCATTATTGTTGTTTCCTTGTATAAAAGGTAATGTATAACCTTTAGAAAACTTGCCTCACTTTTATTCTAAGAAACCGTAGATTTTTTCCTGCCCTGGCTTTTGGCTTTTATACCTATACCTATTATTAATCCCTGAGTATACTTAAATCTTGCCCAGAATGCTGTGCATAATATGGGCTTTGTAAAAATATTGCCATTTAAATACTGTGTACGTTGTTCTAAACCTATGGCCATCGTGGTTTTTAAATCAAGATTTGAAGTGAAACATTCCAAGCTTATGCATAGTGTTTGCTCATATTTATTAAACATCAGTCATTCTATTATACCCATTTTCTCCTTAATAAGTAGTTCATTCCTGTGCTGTAACTTATATACATCATTGCAAGAAATTATACTATAATCTTAAAGCATAAATGATAGCCCACATTAATGTGTGTTATATTTGCAGAGTCTTCATCTGTTTCCTCAGAACAAGTGATAAACTCAAAACAATGGCTACCTGCACAAAAACATGAAGTTAACTCCAAACATATCCAATCTTTGTCTTTAGACACTGTTGTTGAAGAAGTCACAATAGGACAAACCAAAGTAAGCCTAATTTAAAATAATGTTTGTAGTATTTCATTTTTTGAGCTTATAATTTACTGATTAAACATTATATTATTACTGACTTAAAGCTTTCAACACTTATGTTCATAGCAACATCAAGATCTTTCTCCTCACCTTCAACAGTATGTAGATAACATTCTCATGCTTCAGCTTCATATCATTCCAGACCATGGAGCTGAACTCTTATCTAGGCTGAGGGACTGACCACCTCAAACTATTACTCCAAGGCTGATGGACTGATTGCATCATCTTTACCTCACCATTACTCCTACTGCCTACAATACATTTTCCTCTGTATTTGACTTATGAAGCCTACTGCATAGACAAAACATTTCAACAATGAAGATACCCAATTGTTGCACATATCTCAATCAACTCATTGGTATTTTATACCATTTTCAACATGCAATTAATCATATGCAACATTTTAATTCTTTTTTAGGTGATTGCACATTTTTTTCTACACATTGGCTGTCTCCTACTAAATTAAGGCAACCCAAAGATGGAAAACACTTTCACAAATTATTGTTAGCTAAAAGGCTGATTGACTTCAATCCTCTATGGAAAAACTGGCAGTAAAAAAAATATACCCTTTTATTAACCCTTTGAGGGTCGACAGGCCCTCTCTGAGACTCGTTCTCAGGGTCGGCCAAATTTAAAAAAAAAATAAAAAACTTTTCTTATGAAAAGATAGAGAATCTTTTCCCGATCATAATGACACCAAAAGTATGAAATTTGATGGAAAACTTACGGAATTATGCTCTCGCGAAGTTAGTGGTCTCGGCAATGTTTACGCATCGGCGATTTTGCCCACTTTGAGCCCCATTTTTGGCTAATTCCACTGTACTAGTCGACAAAAAACATGAATATTTCGCTAGAACTCCATTTTTTCTATTGAATGAGTGCAAGAAACCACCCACTTACCAATTTCAACTATCCAGTACAGTGGTCAGAATTTAGCAATTTTGCCAATTTCACACAAATTTCACAAGATGTCAATTTTTGAATAGGGTCCAGAATAAACAAGAAAGACATTCCTGGCACTAAAATGACATTTCCTCCGTTCCTTAGTCACGTCTCAAGGCCCCTCTTACATTCTTTTGCTTTCCACTTTGAATTTTTATTCTCACAAAAAATAGAAGATTTACTGTTATGCAGACTACTGCATTACTGTAAAAAATGGTATAAATAATATTGGCACACTTGTGAAAGAATATTAGACTCACCAGTTGACGTGTATTGGATTCTTGGCATGATTTGTTTACTTTTGAACTTTGGTAAAAATCGAACATTTCTGCTACTTTGAGCTCAATTTCAAGGTACTTTTCATTGTAAAAGCAGTCAAAATCATCTCAATTTCTGTAATATGTCTTCCATTCTATAAAATGAGACCAAGAAAACTAGAATACAACAATAAATACCATACGAAAATACAGTGAACCCCCGCATAACGTTGGCATCGCATAGCGTTAAATCCGCATAGCGATACATTTTATCGCAAAAATTTTGCCTCGCATAGCGCTAAAAAATTCGCTCAATGCTATTCGTCCGAGACACGTCCATGCGGCCTGAGCCAGCCTCACATGTTCTGCCAGTGGCATTGTTTACAAGCCAGCCTCTGCGGTAACATTCAAGCATACACTCGAAACATTTTGTATTATTACAGCCTTTTTATAGTGATTTCACCTGAAAAATAAGTGACCATGGGCCCCAAGAAATCTTCTAGTGCCAACCCTACAGGAATAAGGGTGAGAATTACTATGGAGATGAAGAAAGAGATCATTGCTAAGTATGAGAGTGGAGTGCATGTCTCCGAGCTGGCCCGGTTGTATAGTAAACCCCAATCAACCATCGCTACTATTGTGTCCAAGAGAACGGCAATCAAGGAAGCTGTTCTTGCCAAAGGTTTAACTGTGCTTTCAAAACAGAGATCGCAAGTGATAGAAGATGTTGAGAGACGAAAAACAGATAGCAGGAGATAGCATCTCTCAAGAGATCATAAGTGAAAAGGCTAGAAAGTTGCACGAGGATTTAATTAGAAAAATGCCTGCAACTAGTGATGATGTGAGTGAATTTAAGGCCAGCAAAGGTTGGTTTGAGAGATTTAAGAGGCGTTGTGGCATACATAGTGTGATAAGGCATGGTGAGGCTGCCAGTTCAGACCACAAAGCAGCTGAAAAATATGTGCAGGAATTCAAGGAGTACATAAACAGTGAAGGACTGAAACCTGAACAAGTGTTTAATTGTGACGAAACAGGCCTGTTTTGGAAGAAAATGCCAAGCAGGACCTACATTACTGAGGAGGAAAAGGCACTCCCAGGACATAAGCCTATGAAAGACAGGCTTACTCTTCTCATGTGTGCCAATGCTAGTGGTGATTGCAAAGTGAAGCCTTTATTAGTGTATCACTCTGAAACTCCCAGACTGTTCAGGCAAAAGAATATCCTCAAGGCTAATTTGTGTGTGCTGTGGAGGACAAACAATAAGGCATGGGTCACTAGGGACTTTTTCTATGACTGGTTACACCAAGCATTTGCCCCCACTGTGAAAAATTACCTAACTGAAAAGAAATTAGACCTTAAGTGCCTCCTGGTGTTAGACAATGCCCCTGGTCATCCTACAGACTTGGCAGAGCGACTTTGTGGGGACATGAGCTTCATTTAGGTGAAGTTTTTGCCTCCTAATACCACTCCTCTCCTGCAGCCCATGGACCAGCAGGTTATTGCAAACTTCAAAAAAATGTACACAAAAGCTCTGTTTGAAAGGTGCTTTGTAGTGACCTCAGAAACTCAATTGACTCTAAGAGAGTTTTGGAGAGATCACTTTAATATCCTCAGTTGTGTAAACCTTATAGGTAAGGCTTGGGATAAAGTGACTAAGAGGACCTTGAACTCTGCTTGGAAGAAACTGTGGCCAGAATGTGTAGACCAAAGGGATTTTGAATGATTTGAGGCTAACCCTGAGAATCCTATGCCAGTTGAGGAATCAATTGTGGCATTGGGGAAGTCCTTGGGGTTGGAGGTTAGTGGGGAGGATGTGGAAGAGTTGGTGGAGGAGGACAATGAAGAACTAACCACTGATGAGCTGCTAGATCAACTTCAACAGCAAGAGGCCACACCTGAGGAAATTGCTTCGGAGGAGGGGAGAGAGAAATTGAAGAAGTTGCCTACTTCAAATTAAGGAAATGTGTGCAAAGTGGCTTGAAGTGCAAACCTTTTTTGATGACAATCACCCTCACACAGCTATTGCAAGCTGTGCTGGTGACTATTACACTAACACTGTTGTGAAACACTTTAGGAAAGTCATAAAGGAACGAGAGGTACAGGCCACTGTGGACAGATATTTTGTGTGACAGAAGTCCAGTGACTCTGAAGCTGGTCCTAGTGGCATTAAAAGAAGAAGGGAAGCAACCTCGGAAAAGGACTTGACACCTCAAGTCCTAATGGAAGGGGATTCCCCTTCTAAACACTAAAACCATCCAGTCTCCCCTCCTCCCATCCCATCAATCATCACCACATTTTCAATAAAGGTAAGTGTCATGTAACTGTGCATGTTTTCTTAAGTTTGTGTGTATTAAAATTAATATTTCATGTGGTAAATTTTTTTTTTTTTCATACTTTTGGGTGTCTTGCACGGATTAATTTGATTTCCATTGTTTCTTATGGGGAAAATTCATTCGCATAACGATAATTTCGCATAACAATGAGCTCTCAGGAACGGATTAATATCGTTATGCGGGGGTCCACTGTACAGTGCAAAGTCACTGTTTTATTCCAAAAAAACGGTCAAAGTTTTTTTTTCTCATTATGCACTGTGTGCTGCAGGATTTTTTTTATACTGTGCACATTGACCACATAGACCCATTCTTTCATACGTAGGCCTACCAGCTTTCTCCCACTAGATTTGAGGGCGCTAGAATTTAGGCGTACTAGTACGTCAAAAACCCTGGGTTGTAAGCCGTACTAGTACAGCCGAAACCCTCAGAGGGTTAAATGATAGTTCTTTTTCTTGCCAGTAGCACTTTATGGTTTCTTATAATTCACCACATCATCCTTCCAATAAATCGAATATTCCCTCTTTTGATTTTTTGGCTGTCACTTATACTGAAGGTGGGAGGTATGGTGCCTGCACTCTGAAGGAGGAGTGTTGATGTTGCAGTTGTTTAACTGTAGTGTAGATGCACCTCTGGCGAGACATTGATGGAGTGAATGATGATGAAAGTGTATCTTCTTTTTCAGGTCACCCTGCCTTGGTAGGAAATGACAGGGTGAGCATGATGACAGATATATGAAAAGTTACCCCTTCTCCTGTATAAATTACTAAATTTAAAAAGAGAAACTTTTGTTTTTGTTTTTATGTCACCCTGCCTCAGTGGAATATGGCCAGTTCATTGAAAAAAAAATGAAAAGTTATAATACAGGTCTTGAAATGTTGGCAGAAAAAATATAAATAGATTCATTCAGATTGGTTACAATATCTTTTAATGCACAATAACAAATACAGGTTGAGTATCCCTTATCTGAAATGCTTGGGGCCAGAAGCATCTCAGATTTTAAAAAATTTCGGATTCTATAATATATGTAATGAGATACCTTGGGGATTGAACCCAAATTTAAACATGAAATCCATTTATATTTCATGTATAGCTTATACACAATATTTTGAATTACAAAAATATTTTTTTTAATAAAAGCAGCACAGCAGCATTGGCAAAATACTTGCATCAGCTGTCAGAAGAAAAAACGGCAAGCTTTTAGTCTCCACCTACAATGCCATATTTTTATTAAAACACTGTTACCCATAGGGGTATCTGCAGGCCTTTTTGACATTTTCAACACTACCTTTACACCACAGAGCAGAGAATAAGCACAAAACACATGGTAATTACAGTGAATGCACATAGGTCTGGTGTTGATTGTTGATAACAAACTGATACCAACAGAGCTTCAGAGCCCTACCCAGGGTATGTGAGGTCATGTGTCACAACTGTCTGGGTATACAGAGACATGCACAACACCAACTGAAATTTTTCCATTTGTGGCATCATGTCAGAGCTCGAAAAAAGTTTAGGATTGCAGAGCTTTTCAGATTTCGAAATTTCAGATAAAGGATACTCAACCAGTACAATGAAACATCACCAGCTGTTTGTATCTATTAAATTTTTGTTTTTCAAATAGTTCAGTGTCAGTTTCTTACAATTAGGTGCTTTAGACAGTGCATAACTCACAACAGATTATAATAATTATTATTGTTACCATTATTTTAATTATTATTATTATATGTATTTGGAAACTAAGAGTTACATCAATGTGGGTTATACAGTGTAATTATAGATTGGGGTGTATGGGTAGTGAAAAGTGGAGGCAAGAATTAGTGAAGGTGTACAATTAATGTCATAGGTTAGTTTTTGTTAAAAAGTCTCAAGAGGGAGTCTGCATTTTAAAGGTGGCACTTTCAGTGAGGAAGGCACTCAAGAGTTGTGCATCAAGGCATTGAAGATGTCTGTAATGAATTCTGCTTGCAGAGAGGTGCTGGGCATCTCATGAAAGGTATCAAGTTTAGCAATAGAAAACTTGAAACCATGGGAGGTATCCCAGTTATCAGCATGATCAATAGTGTGTTGAAGAGTGGTCACTAAGAATCGAAAGTGTGGCCCTACACAAGTGATGACAAAATCTACATATAAAGACCAGACACTTGTGAGAAGGACTGAAGTAAATTTGTTAATAGCTATGCCTAGCACAAAATCTGGGAAAGGCTGTTATTCAAGTGAACATTAGATTGTCTCTCCTATGGAAAATATTTAAGGTAAGGCAGCTGTCTGCCTCATAGGCCAAACATGGGACAAACTAACTCCATGTAGTGTCATAAGCTTTTTCTAGGTCAAAAGAGATCACAGTAACTGAATTGTCTGCAAAGGCATTTCGAATGTAAAGTATTGTGAATTAAATTGGAGAAAGGGGTCTGTGGTGGAATGACCATTTCTAAAATTGAATGGAAACTATATTAGAACAAAGCTGATAGTGGTCTCTTTTTTTTTTTCCCCACCTTCTGTCTAAATGTTCAGTTTTACAAAAGGGATAAATCTTCCCATTAATAAGGTCAGATGGAGCAAGGGAGGATTGGGGGTTATTTGAATTAGTTTCAAGGAAGGAAACAGAAGGTCCAGTTTCTTGAATCAAGAGTCCCTTCACTGTGCAAGGGACCTTCCCTTGAAGGAAAAGCACCCTGAAGCAACTGGAGGCTTCTGGTTAATGATGAAATGAAAATTGTTTTGTATATACAGTCATTCCTCGGCATCAGTGGGAGATTGGTTCTAGAACCCCCCACAGATATCAAAATCTGTGGATGCTTAAGTCCTGCATTCCCTTCCCATGTTGAGAGTCCCAGGGTAGGTGTGGTGGGTGAAGGGTATAGTGCTTGGTTCTTTCTCCTCCATCTGGCAGTGAGGCTCAGAGTTCCATTCATACATGTCTAGTACCATACATTGGCCACACACCACCCACACCAACTGCTCAATCAGCTTTTCCCTTATCTGTGGCTAGATGCCCTTGCTGCACACCCATACAGCCCACAAACCCCACCCAGACCACACACCCCTACAATTCCCCCAGTTACATGCCTTCAACCATATGTACATCCAACCCATGCCTTCCTCCTCCCACCACTATAATTCCCCCACAGCTACATGTCTTTGCCCACACCATTCCAACCAGCAACTGCCACCTAAACAACTCTCCATGGCCACACTATCTAACCAACAACCTACCCTTACACAATTCCTCCCACAGCCACATGCCTATACTTACACCATTCCCCTACTATCTCAAGACCACACCTTGCCTAGTCCCACACTATTTCCCCATGACCTCTCATTCATACCTCATCCAATCTTTCACCCTAACATGCAGTCCACATACCTAATCACTTAGTTGCACACCCCACTCATTATGGCCTACACCAACCCCACACACTCACCCACTCAGTCATTCATTATCCAGTCACCACCCACATCAGGCCACTGACCACACCTATTAAGAACTATCAAGAAAATGGAAGAAAACTCAGATGGCTGTTTTTACATGTATGCAGCCATCCCTTGGTGTCACCTACACATCATTTCACTTGTGTGGATTTGTTGTAGTGCTTGGCATGTGACAAATTCAAATTTTGCTTTTTGCAACTTTCTGGATTTTTTTTTTTTTTTTCAAATATTTTTGATTCGTGATTGGTTGAATCCATGGATGCAGAACCCGTGGATACAGAGGGCCGACTGTATTGACGAAAACAGGAAGATAGCATCACCAAAACATGAAAATATAACATCTTCCACAGGTGTCCCTCTTCCTGTTATTTATCACAAACTTCTTTTTTTTTTTTACAATTTTTAGCATTAGTAACAAAGACACGTTTTCCAACCACATTACACTATTTTAATATTGATGACTGTAAAAATGCTAAAAATTCTGCAACAAGCTAAAGTAATAATACTGATATAAGCTAAAGTAAGGGAACTGTTCTATTAAATCAAACATTTGTTTTGCAGGTTAAATATTTGCATATGACGGATGCTATACAAAACCTACAGAAAGCAGGAGTTTCTAGCAATATTTCACCAGCATTTGAAGATCACACTGACCTTGTACCTGCAGTTTATGAAGGTTAGAACACTTCTTTGACTGTACCTCACTGACTGAGGTCCAGTATTTTATTTTTAACATGTAACCTGTATTTGCATCTCATAGTGCATTCAAGGCTTCATTATCCAAAAATTAACTGACCTACTTGTGATCAATTCAAAATACAGTGGACCTTCGGTTATCGGCTGTAATCCATTCCAGAAGGTCGGCCTAAATCCAAAAAGGCCGAAAACCGTAATAACATTTCCCATTTCGGTGGGAGACGGCCAACTTGTTGAAAAAAAAAAAAAAATTAATCCACTCCAGACACCCAAAAATATTAACAAAAAATAAATTTTTTAAAGATTAACTATAATCTTTAAAAAATGTATATTTTGTTAATATTTTTGGGTGTCTGAAATGGATTAATTGGATTTACATTAATTCTTATTGAAAATGTTATTTTGGTGTTCGGCATTTTTGGATTTAGGCCGACCTGGAATGGATTACGGCCAATAACCAAGGGTCCACTGTAGTTTTGTACACACAAAACAATGAGAAAGAAATATAAAACACTAAATGAACATTACATACCTTTATTAAAGACTCCTGTTGGCATATGGAAGGTGAGGAGGAGAGTTTGTTTGCAAGGGGAATCCCCCTCCATAAGGACTTCAGGTATCAAATCCCTCTCTGGGGTTACTTCCCTTCTTTGTTTTTTACTGGCACTAGGACCAGCTTGAGAGTCACTGCACCCCTGTCACACAAAAAATGTCCAGAGAGGTATGTTTCTGGCATCTCTTTAAGATTTGCCTGAAGTGGGACAAGGTTTTGTCACTAAACATGTTGTAAAGTAAAAGGACACAAGTGCAACTAATGTGACATTTTATTGTGGTAACGTTTCGCTCTCCAGGAGCTTTATCAAGCCATTACAAACAATACATGGACACAGAGGGTATATATAGGCTCAGGGTGAGGTGCAGTACTAGTGGTAGTAGTAGTAGTAGTAGTAGTGACAAAAGTTGTAGTAGTAGTAGTAGTAATACAATATGGTAGAGCAATTAATTCGTACATGAGTAAAAGGATATAAAGGCTATTACTTGGGTAACATAAAAATAGGTTGGACAAATATAGACTGGATAGAGGCAGCCTGTTTCAGTGTTCACTCTCTGTAATGTGCTTTGTGTAGTATAACAGGAGAGACTATGTGATGGCAGGGTTTACTGTTTTCAGGAGGATTCTTGCTAAGACTTCAGAGATGGTGAAGCTGCCGTTGTTTTGTTTAATTGTATTCGAAACAGCGATCAGTGCTGATTCGAGGCACTTGCGTCTGCGAAAATTAGTTTCTTTGATCACTAATTGGGCGTCCCTGAATTTCATGAGATGATTGGTGGAATTTCGGTGTTGTACACAGGCGTTGTTCAAGTTATCGTTCCTACATGCGTAAATGTGTTCATTGAGGTGGGTGTCGAGGTTTCTTGCTGTTTCACCTACGTAAATCTTGTCACAGCCTCCACAGGGTATAGTGTAAACTCCTGCGTTGACTGGTTCGTGGTGCTTTGATTTTGTCCTGGTTAGATCCTTTATTGAAGTGTTAGAAGCGATGACGACTCTGGTGTTAGCTTGTGAAAGGTCTTTAGAAACGTTCAGTGCAACCTGGCTGTTGGGAAGAATTATAACTTTGTTGGGAGTGGTGTTGGTGCGTGGAGAATTAATGATCTGAAGAGGCTGTGACAAGATTTACGTAGGTGAAACAGCGAGAAACCTTGACACCCGCCTCAATGAACACATTTATGCATGTAGGAACGATAACTTGAACAATGCCTGTGTACAACACCGAAATTCCACCAATCATCTTATGAAATTCAGGGACGCCCAATTAGTGATCAAAGAAACTAATTTCCGCAGACCCAAGTGCCTCGAATCAGCACTGATCGCTGTTTCGAATACAATTAAACAAAACAACGGCAGCTTCACCATCTCTGAAGTCTTAGCAAGAATCCTCCTGAAAACAGTAAACTCTGCCATCACATAGTCTCTCCTGTTATACTACAGCCATCTAGACCCTTTCTTGCTCCTCTCATATCAATGATCTATTAAATGCCAGTCAACAAACTCAAATCAGTATTCCTTGCTAACAATACTTTTCTTCTCAAATTCTGACCCTACTGATTTAAACACAACAGTAAATAATGACTTTAAAAAATCCACACTGCATAAGTCAAGTCATCAAAAACATATTAAACCCTAGCTTTTGACAACACACTCCACCTTATTCAAAAATCTTTAAACTTATTAAGCATAACTGTTCATACATTCTGTTATTCAGTGTATTATATATCTTATATATCCTTCCTCCTCACACAGTTTTATAATATTATAGGTTTTTTCCTATTAAGGCCATCAAGTGAACACCTTTCTTTGTTTTTTTAATTCACACATTTCTTGTTTTATTTAACTGTGCTGACTTATTTCTCTTTTTTTTTCACTGTTGTATTGAAGATTACTCATTGCACAAACCCTTATCTTCACTTCATTGTCTCAGATTGACCAAACAAATGTACCAACTCCATGAAGTGCAACATCTTTCAGCATCTAATTTACCTTCAGTTTTTTTCATAACAGGCATAGTTTCACACTTAATCATCATTTTTCCTTCATCAGCATTACCTGCACTGTGTCTGGAAGCCATGATAAATATCCAAAAATGAGATTGGGTGATGAAAAGAAAAAACTGAGTGATATGCACCTAGCTAAAATTGCACAGTACTCATCCAATTACATTGACCTATGTGAAAAGATGTTTATTTACATCACCTCAAGCTCCCTCACACCTTTTTCCACAGCAATATGACAAGAGAGTTACCTAATGCATATTGGGAGGTCTAAGGCCCTCCTGCTCCAGTGTACCACCAATAGAAATGAATTCCACTCCCATGTGCCTTAATGGAAATGGGCACACTTTTATTGCAAATGAAAGCCTAAATTTAAATTGCATAATACATACTGAAAGCACAAGTTATGATCACATGACTTAAAATTTTCTACTGTATGTACAACTTACACAGAATTACAATTTCTACAGTAAGTTCTGTGCAAGCCCTTGTCTCTTACATGAATCATATCAAATATTTATTTGCAAAACAACTAAAAGCACATTGTAGGTGATGCATTGACAAAATAAAAAGTGGGCCCACTGTGAATAAATAACAGAACCAGGCAATACCACACTTGTTATAGAGCCAAGATATTGTAGCTGTCTGCATCATGAAACCAACACCAGATATTGTCCTAGGTAAATCATTCTCAAAGGGAGAACTACCCCCTAAACATTTCTTAATAAAAACTGCTCCGTCAGCACAAACTGTACCCCCAGTTACTAGTGAGATGGCCTACACAAGTTCACTCAGTGGTTGGCATTGAATGAGCTATTTATAATGTTTTGTCATTCTTAATGCACATTTTACACTAAGTTTAAAATTGGAAGTGGAAACATAGCCAAGGCAATTTTTTCTTAAGATGTGCTTCTTTTTTTTTCTATATTAAACAGGTGGATTAAAAGTGTGGGAATGTACTTGGGATCTTCTTCAATTTCTTGCAGATTCTGATATCAAGTTGAAAGGAAACAGGTAAATTTTAATAGTATGTACTGTACTTAGTCATAAATCATTTTAATCCATTACATTTCTTCAATGTTGGAAGTCATTGCACATAATCTCAAAATGCTATAAAGCTTTGCCATATGTATGAACCTTTTCTTATAAAATTTAACTTATTTTCCTTATCAGATGGCTGGTTTTGCACGTACTTTCCATTTAACTCGTGTATATGTTACTTTACTTTTTTAAAATATCCATGTTTTTTACATGCTTGCAAAGTGTAATAGATTGTGGCTTCATTTGTTTATTCTCTATAAAATTTTGGTTTCCAGATTTTGAATTTTATTTCACCTGATCAGTTCTTTATACATTTTTTTTGCATTTAGACTTATGGTGGAACCCCTGATTTTGGCCGTAATCCGTTCCAGAAGGTCGGCCTAAATCCAAAAAGGCCGAAAACCAAAGTAATATTTCCCATAAGAATTACTGTAAATACAATTAATCCATTCCAAACACCCAAAAATATTAACAAAAAATACATTTTTTAAAGATTAACTATAGTTTTACATACACAAAACAATGAGAAGGAATTATAAAGCAATAATTTTACTAATAAATGAACATTACATACCTTTATTAAAGACTCTTGTTGGCATATTGAAGAAGGCAAGGAGGGAAGAGGAGAGCTTATAGTTTGGAAGGGAAATCCCCCCCCTCCATAAGGACCTCAGGTATCAAGTCCCTCTCTGGGGTTACTTCACTTCTTTGTTTTTTACTGGCACTAGGACTAGCTTGAGAATCACTGTACCCCTGTCGGACAAAAACATGTCCAGAGAGGTCTGTTTCTGGCGTCTCTAAGATTTGCCTGAAGTGGGACAAGGTTTTGTCACTGAAAATGTTGCAGATATGGCTTGTTTCAGCTTAGTCAGGGTGATATTTTTCCACAAAACTTTGCACCTCCCTCCACTTTGCACAAATTCCCTTAATCACTGAAGAAAGCACATTCTCTCCTCTCTCTTCCTGATCTAAAGCAAGTTCCTCAGCTGTGGTCTGTTGCTGTTGCAGATGAAGGTCTTACAACTCTTCAGTGGTTAGCTCTTCCCTGTGGTCCTCCACCAACTCTTCCACATCCTCGCCACTCAACTTCAACCCCATGGAATTCCCCAAAGCCACAATAGATTCCACAACAGGCAAAGGGTTGACAGGGTCAGGGTCAGGGTCAGGGTCAGCCTCAAGCCCTTCAAAATCCTTGTCGAGGACACATTCTGGCCACAATTTTCTTCAAGCAGAGTTCAAAATCCTGGAAGTCACTCCCTGTCAAGCCTTACCTATAAGGCTTATGCAATGGAGGATATTGAAGTGATTCCTCCAGAACTCTCTTAGGGTCAAGTCAGTGTCCAAGGTCACTTCAAAGCACCTTTGAAACATTGCTTTTGAATAGAGTTTTTTGAAGCTAAAAATGACCTGCTGGTCCATGGGCTGGATGAGAGGAGTGGTGTTAGGAGGCAAGAACTTCACTGTTATAAAGCTTAACTCCATAGACAAGTGGTCTACCAAGTTTGGAGGATGAGCAGAAGCACTGTCCAGTACCAGGAGCCACTTGAGTGGCAATTTATTTTTCTGGAGCTATTTTTTCACACTTGGGCCAAACACTTCACGGACCCAGTCAATGAAAATTTGCCTTGTGGCCCATGCATTATTATTAGCTTTCCACAACACATACAATTTACTCTTGACGACATTGTTTTTCTTGAACACTCTGGGATTTTCAGTGATACACCAGTAAAAGCTTCACTTTGAAATCCTCACTAGCATTACCACAGAACAAAAGAGTAAGCCTATCCTTCATAGGCTTGTGTCCTGGCAGTGCATTTTCCTCCTGCGTGATGTAGGTCCTCTTCGGCATTTTCTTCCAAAAGAGGCCTGTTTCATCACAATTAAACACTTGCTTGGGGACGAATCCTTCGGCCTCTACATACTCCTTGAATTCATGCACGAATTCTTCAGCCACACGTTTGTCTGAACTTCCAGCTTCACCATGCCTTAGAACACTGTGTATGCCACTACGCTTCTTGAATCTGTCGACCCAGCCTCTGCTTGCCTTAAATTCACTAACAGCAGCACTTGTTCCAGGCATTTTCTTTATGAGATTCGCATGTAACTGCCTCGCCGTTTCACAGATGATCAACTCCACAACACTATCTCCCGTTAATTGTTTCTCGTTGATCCACACCAACAATAACCTCTCCACATCTTTGATAATTCATGATCTTTGTTTCGTTAGCATATTTACCCCTTTTGCAACATTAGCTTCCTTGATTTCTACTTTCTTTGCCATGATGGAAGTGATTGTTGATTTGGATTACCCATGCATCCTAGCAAGCTCCAAGACATGTGCACCACTCTCGTACTTTGCTATAATTTCTTTCTTGAATTCTGTTGTGTTTCTCACTTTATTTACCAAAGGGCTGGCACTAGGAACTCTCTTTGGGTGCATGGTGGCTTATTTCACAGTTGCACTCAATAAATAACCACAAAAAACAATGGATTATAACGAAATGCTGGGATGAATGCGCAGAGTCTTGCTCACTCACCCAGACACACAGCCAGACTGATTCACGAACGTTCAGAGAGGCTGGCAGACGCGTTCAGTATGGCCGATTTCTGAGTCACCAGCCGAAATCCAGGACAGATTTTTGGCCAAAAAAGCAGCCGAATTCGAATCACTGATATCCGGGGTTCCACTGTATATATAAACAAATTCCATTAAATTATTGTGCTATGAAAACAAAAAAGCACAGTCTGTTAATATCTGAAGCCCCCAACTACTCAACCTGCTACTAGCAGATATCAGAAATAATGCCAGAACAAGAGTAGAACTATTCAAGAGAAAACTGGATCACTACCTCTGCAGTGTGCCATATCAACTAGGCTGTGATTCATATGTTGGTTGGAAGGCCAGCAACAGCCTTGTTGACCAAGCAGTCAACAGGAGTGTAGCAGGCAGGGAGGGAGTGTATCAGAGGCATGGAGTGTAGCAAGGAGGCAGGGAGTGAGGCAGGCAGGCGGTGAGTGAAGCAGGCAGGCAGTGAATGAAGCAGGCAGGCATAGAGGCAAGGAGTGTAGCAGGCATGCAGGGAGTGTAACAGGAAGGCAGGGAGTGTAGCAGGCATGCAGGGAGTATAGCAGGCAGGGAGTGTAGCAGGGAGGCAGGGAATGTAGTAGGCAGGCAGGGAGTGAAGCAGGCAGGCAGTGAGTGTAGCATGCAGACATAGGGGCAAGGAGTGTAGCAATATGCAGGGAGTGTACCAGGAAGGCAGGGAGTGTAGCAGGCATGCAGGGAGTGTAGCAGGCAGGCAGGCAGGGAGTGGACAGTTTTTTTGTGCAACAGGGGTGCAGCGACTCTCAAGCTCCTCGCCTTCTTCCATATGCCAACAAGAGTCTTCATTAAACATACGTAATGTTCATTTATTAGTAAAATTAGTGCTTTATATTTCTTTCTCATTCTTTTATGTATGTAAAACTATAGTTAATCTCTAAAAATGTATTTTTTGTTAATATTTTTGGGCATCTGGAACGGATTAATTGTTTTTACATTAATTCTTATGGGAAATGTTATTTTGGTTTTCAGCCATTTCGGTTTTAGGCCAACCTTCTGGAACGGATTGCAGCTGATAACCGAGGGTCCACTGTATAGCTTATGTGTTGCTGTGCTATGTAAGTTATTATAAAGAATAGTTGGAATAAGACATCATTCAAGCATTCATCACACTAACTCAAGATCTTTATCTTTTATATTACAGAGTCTTGGAGTTGGGCTGTGGTACTGCTCTACCAGCTTTGTATTGTGCTCTACAGGGTGCACACATCACTCTTCAGGATTATGTAAATCTTGCATTATTTTACTTCTTTTCATTCTGCTTATATCTACCTGGTGGTAGTAGCAGTAGTAGTGTTACTTTGTTTATAGGATTTTTTTATGGAAACTCCTTCATATACTAGAGTTTTAATGTATGTGTTTATTATTCATGCCTTTTAGCCCTTTTATCATGTGGATGGTTCCTAGCTAGTGTAAAATATCCAAGAAAAATTAAAACACTTTTATAAGCTTTTGTACTACAGAGGAACCTCGGTTTTCATAGGATTCGGTTTTTGACGACTTTTTTCATTGAAATTTTGTCCCATTTTTCATACATCCGCTCAGTTTTCATAGAGTTGACAGTGGTCCACCGTACCAAACGTGTCCACCTGTCCGCACCCACGCAAAGTATCCCACACGTTCTGACTCAGTCTGACTTTGCTTCTCGTTGAGCGAGCATTACCCCATGTGTTCATCCGAAACATTTCGTAATAATCCATTGTTTTTTGTGCTTGTTTGAGTGCGACTGCTAAATAAACCACCATGGGGCCAAAGAAAGTTCTGAGTGCCAGCCCTTGTATAAAGAAGGCAAGAAACACGATAGAATTCAAAAAAGAACTCGTAGCAAAGTACAAAAGTGGCATACGTGTGTCCGCTGATCTCGCCTGGATGTATGGGAAGTCCACATCAATGTTCAATGACAATGCCTTGTCCCACTGTAGGCAAATCTTAAAGAGATGCCAGAAACAGACCTCTCTGGACAGATTTTTTGTACGACAGGGGTCCAGTGACTCTCAAGCTGGTTCTAGTACCAGTAAAAGACAACGATGGGAAGTAACCCCAGATAGGGCCTCGATACCTGAAGTCCTTATGGAGGGGGATTCCCCTTCCAAACAGTAACCTCTCTTCCTCCCTCTCCCTTCCTCACCATCTTCCATATGCCAACAAAAGTCTTCAGTAAAGGTAAAAGTGATGTTAAATGTTCATTTATCCATTTCATTAGTCATTTATATTTATTTCTCATTGTTTTCTGTATGTAAAACTATAGTTATTCTCTAAAAAATGTATTTTTGGCTAATATTTTTGGGTGTGTGGAATGGATTAATTGGATTTACATTATTTCTTATGGGAAATATTGCTTCAGTTTTCGTACAATTCGGTTTCATCAGACTTTCTGGAACGAATTAATCATGAAAACTGAGGTTGCACTGTACTTTCTTAGGAGATCATAAGGGTGTTACCCTTGGTGCTTAATTTTCTTAAAACCATTATAAGATAAAAATAAATTATTGGCAGTTTGGAGGGATATGTTGTGTATCATTATACGTATATGCTTCTAAGCTGTTGTATTCTGAGCACCTCTGCAAAAGCAGTGATAATGTGCGAGTGTGGTGAAAGTGTTGAATGATGATGAAAGTATTTTCTTTTTGGGGATTTTCTTTCTTTTTTGGGTCACCCTGCCTCGGTGGGAGACGGCCGACTTGTTGAAAAAAAAAAAAAAAAAAATTAAAATATTCTTGAAATGTGTTATATAATACTTTATAGAACTTTGACTCAGCATACATATGTCAGATGGAAACAAAAGTATTCCAAATATAATTAGAGTATAATTTTTAATTTTATATGCACATTAAAACCCTCTCATAACATGGAGTCTACATTCGTGAAAATTGATGCCTAGTGAAAATTAGTAGTACAGCCTTTCCTCACTTAGCCCTTTCAGGGTTGATGCCATATTAGTACGGCTTGCACGCCAGGGTTGGTGCCATACTAGTACGCATAAATTCTAGCGCTTTCAGATCTAGCGAAAGCTGGTAGGCCTACATATGAAAGAATGGGTCTATGTGGTCAGTGTGCGCAGTATTAAAAAAATCCTGCAGCACACAGTGCATAATGAGGAAAAAAAAACTCCGACCGTGTTTTTGGTTTAAAACAGCGACTTTGCAGTGTATTTTCATGTGATATTTATGGTTGTATTCTAATTTTCTTGGCCTCATTTTATAGAATGGAAAACATATTATGGAAGTTGAGATGGTTTTGATTGGTTTCACAATGAAAAGTACCTTGAAATTGAGCTCAAAGTAGCAGAAATGTTCGATTTTTGCCAAAGTTCAAAGGTAAACAAATCATGCCACACGTCCAATACACGTCAACTGGCGAGTCTGATATTCTTTCACAAGTGCGCTGATATTATTTATACCATTTCTACATGAATGCAGTAGTCTGCATAACATAAATCTTCTATTTTTTGTGAGAATAAAAATTCAAAGTAGAAAGCAAAAGAAATGTAACAGAGGCCTGGGGACATGAGTAATGAACAGAGGAAATGTTATCTTAGTGCCAGGAATGTCTGTCTTGTTTATTCTGGACCCTATTTGGAAATTGGCATCTTTTGAAATTTGTGTGAAATTGGCTGAATTGCCAATTTCTGACTACATTATTGGATAGTTAAAATCGGTAAATGGATGGTTTCTTGTACTCATTCGATAGAAAAAATGGAGTTCTAGTGAAATAGGTATGATTTTTGTCCACTGGTACATTGGAATTGGCCAAAAATAAGGCTCAAAATGGGCGAAATCGCCGATTCGTAAACATCGTCGAGACCACTAACTTTGCAAGAGCATAATTCCGCAAGTTTTCCTTCACATTTCTTAATTTTGGTGTCATTATGATCGGGAAAAGATTCTCTATCATTTCATAAGAAAAAATAATTTTTTTTTTTTCGAAAAATTTCCGACCTTGAGAACAAGTTTAGGAGAGGGCCTGCCAACCCTAAAAGGGTTAATGACGGAGTTCTGTTCTTAAGACCACGTTAGTAAATGAATTTATCACTAAGTGATGAGCATAATGTAATGGTAGTGGGTTTGTGTCAACCATCTTTGATATTGTTTTAATGTCATCTTTGTACCATTTATGTATAACATTTCTGGTATATTTTTCAATGTTTAAACAGTAGTGTACTATATATTATATTAAACACAACAGAAAATGTTACATGCTATGCACCTGAAGGGTAACTATAGATCACTCTTATCCTATGCAAAGAGTGAAAAAAGTGCAATTTTCTCAAAAAAAAAAATTTTCCCAAGTAATCAGCTATGAGTGCATTTCCTAGAATATCTCGGAAGTAAGTTATTGACCTATTTCATGTTGCATTACCATTACTAATGAACAGATTGAAAGGGTTTTCACAGCAAATGTAAAACTGAATGTTTTAATTTCGGGTTGTGAAATTTTTGTAGTAGTATCAGTAAGGGGTGATTCCTCGATTAGCGACGAATTCGTTTAGCAGCATGGTCTTAGGAACAGAACTCTGTCAGTAAGTGAGAAGAGGCTGTATTAGCAGAACGCCATAACGGAAAACGCCCTAAAGCAGGGCCCTACTGTATTATAATTTGTGTAACTGTATTTATGTTTACCTGTACCTAAATAAACTTAGTAATTTGAAAAACTAAGCAATGTAAGAACAGAGGGAAATGTGTGTAAGTTTATTGTTGAACATTGTTCATTATGAGTAGTTGGCCATTTAAGTCATCTATACAAAAAAACATTTTGCTGGCACTTCTGAATTTAAGAAACTTTTAAGCTCAGGATTGGGATTTAGCAGATCTAGAATAAATGCCTGTACAGGTCTCCCTCAACATTCGCGTTTTCAACTTTCGCGGGCTTCACACATTCGCGAATTCCCAACCGCCAAATTCCCAGCCTCCAAATTCCCAGCCGCCAAATAATATTTAAGTTTCCCGCCACCTGAGAGTCCCTACTACCCTCCCTCCGAACCCCGCAACTGGCAGCCAGCCCTCCCACCAGTGTGGTGAGTGTTTTGTTTGTTCATTATTTGCTATTAAACTACAGTACAAATAATGTAAACCCATTCATGACTGCATATTGGGATGGCTATTCGGACAGGTATTGGACGGTGACATCATGTGTTTACTCTCAAACACAGCAAAGAATCAAACATTTCTGCTACTGCTAATAATAACAATAGTAATAATAATAATAATAATAATAATAAATACGATAGAGTTGAAGCAGGAAATTGTACAAAAATACAAGGGAGTGGTTGACACATCGTCAGTGTGGCTTTGTTTATGCTGGAGTGAGCATTAGTCTCCGTGCTCTTCCAAACATTTCACAATAATTCATTGTGTTTGGTGCTTGTAGATTGAGTGCGACTGGAGTGGTAGAGGCAGTGGTTGAGGAAGCAGTTGAGGCAGTGTGTGGGGCAGCGGTTGAGGCAGTGGTTGAGGCAGTGGGTGAGGCAGTGGGCAAGGCAGAGGTTGAGGCAGTGGGTGAGGCAATGGGTGAGGCAGCGGTTAAGGCAGTGGGTGAGGCAGCGGTTGAGGCAGTGGTATTTAATAACATACATGTTAATAATAATAATACATGTTATTAATAATACGTATTATTATTATTTATAACATGTTATTACTACCACTGCCTCAACTGCCGCCTCTACCATTGCCTAAACTGCTGCCTCTACCAGTGCCTCAACCGCTGCCTCACCCACTGCCTCACCCAGTGCCTCACACACTGCCTCACCCGCTGCCTCAACCACTGCTTCAACCATTGCCTCAACCGCTGCCTCAACCACTGCCTCACCCACTGCCTCAACCACTGCCTCACCCACTGCCTCAACCACTGCCTCACCCACTGCCTCAACCACTGCCTCACCCACTGCCTCAACCGCTGCCTCACCCACTGCCTCACCCGCTGCCTCACCCACTGCCTCAACCGCTTCCTCAACCACTGCCTCTACCACTCCAGTCGCACTCAATCTTCAAGCACCAAACACAATGAATTATTGTGAAATGTTTGGAAGAGCACGGAAACTAATGCTCACTCCAGCATAAACAAAGCCACACTGACGATGTGTCAACCACTCCCTCGTATTTTTGTACAATTTCCTGCTTCAATTCTATCGTATTTATTATTATTATTATTATTATTATTATTATTATTATTATTATTATTATTATTACTATTGTTATTATTAGCAGTAGTAGAAATGTTTGATTCTTTG